TCTTTTTTTTTTATTTTTTTTTTTTGTAAGCAAACCACTGAGTTGTAAATTAAATAGCAGTAACATGGAGCTCAGGCAATTTACATAATTTAGTTTTCAGGATAGCTCATGGTAACTATAAGCATTATTGAAAATGCCTGTTCATGGTCAGTACCTTTCCAGGGTAAACATAAGTTTACCAGGATTTTTTGAAGTGCAGCCTTACTCAGAAAAATGATAACATTGTATTTAAAACATGCTCAGTTCAGAGATGGCAAGACAGCTTCTAGTGATTGTCATTACAATAGATCCAAGATATAAATAATTAAGGACATAATTATATAATACTGCCATGATTTTGCACATTTAACTTTGTGAGTTCAGTGGGAGGACTGAGGCACGCACCTAAGCAGCCACAGTCACAGCCTTCACTGACCCCAAAGGAGTGAGCTACTGTATACTGCACTGTTCCCTTTCTCCACAAGAACAGAGGGCATCAGAAAACTCAATCACTGAGCAGAGAGCACAACATTCATGTGCAAGTCCCCTCCATGAGATGCTGTCACTTTTAATCACTCTTCTGGGCCATCAGTGTACTCAAGGAAGAAGAAATACACTTGAATCACTGAACAGCTGTACTGGTTTGAAATGCTCTCACATAAATCTTCATGGCCAAACAATCACCTTCAAATTGTGTGATTAAAGCTGTACAAGTGAACAGGTAAAACTGGCACTGTTCTGTATGGCTTCACAGTAGAAAATCTTGAGAAAATTATATCCAGCTCCTGAATAGCTTCTGCAGATAATACACATGGGGTCAAGCCTAGCATGGCCTTATGCAGTTAATTAGTCCTAGAAACTTTTCTAAATCATGCAATGTTTTGACATCAGTTAATTATTATTACCTTATGTTTGTCCAGTTAGTGATCACCATAAATATTCTGAGATCTACTGAATTTGTCAAGGCTTTCTGCACCCATGCTGAGTAAAATTAAAATGCTCTGAGGGGATAGCCCAAAAATAACGTAATAAATGCTACTTTCCCAGTCTCTTATGGAATAAGCAAAAGGGCGTAGTCCAGCAACTAACAGGAGACAGTGTGCTGCCTGAAACGAGTTGCTTTGGCATCCCAAGGACACAGAGCTGGGCTATCAGACATTCCCCTGTTGTGGGTTAAGATTTTCCCCCCTTTTGTTCCCTTTCTTTGTGAATTTTTTCTTCCCCATTTGTTGCTGGGATACACTAATTGCCAGGTCATCCTTTTGATGGCTGGGCCATTAATGAAGACAAGATACCTATGCCCCACCTAAATGGTCTTGCTAAGCTCTGGGAGGGTGTTTTTGTGTGGTGG